TGCCAGCTGATTTAGAGCTGGCATCAATAATGTTTGGAGTGGTAACACAAACAAATGAAGAGGTTAGCGTCCTTCCTCTTTGTGCTGGGATCTGGATGATGAGAGCGGCAAAAAAAAAAGCAGTGTAGGTGCATTTCGAGAGAGACCTCCAGGACCATTTCTCCATTTCACAAAGAGGTCTTGTTTTCTGAGTGTTGTATAAAACATTTCACAAATAGGGTGGCTGCAAGAACCCTTTGTAAGCAAGAAGTTTCAGCCCTGCTTTCTTTTCCGTATGCACGAAGAAACCACTGTGTGGTTGTCCTAGAATGCTTAACCAAATAAAAATGTATACTGCTGAATTAACTGGATTCTTGTTTATTTTGCAGAAAAGCTGCTGTGTGGTTACTGCTGCTAAGAGATTTGAAAATATCAGCAGTCTTGGTGCTTTAGCCCCCTGCCATGACCCAGACTTCTACTAAATGGACCAACAGCATATTAGCTGCAGGACAAGTCCAAGCATTGCTGAGCTGCTTCCTCTCTATTCAGCTATCAAAAGAGGGAAAGTATTTCTGCAGTTTGCAGGAAGGTGTTTTTGCTCGAACACTGTGTTCTCCATGGCTCCTAGTGCTACCTTAGGTTAGATTCACAATGATGTTTTTTCTCCTACCACATCTTTCATCCTCATTTAGGCTCCTTAAGGTTCAAATAAGAATGTTAAATTAGCTGTTTCCCATCTCAATCCAGAAGACAGCCTATAACTGCAATCTATTTGTAGCCAAGGTCCGTTTAACAAAGAAATCAAATTGCTCTTAAAAGAAAATATATACAGCCTATTTAAAACTGCATTATCCAGAAGATTTTAAGTTTTATTTTCTTCTCACATTAAAATGAGCTAAGAAGCTCAACCAAAGTAAAAACTATTTTAATATAATGTTAATAAAAGTGAGAAATAAGGCTTTCCTTGCGAATAGGTAAATTTTCTGCATCCATGATGAATTTTAGGTTTTCTTAGCCTGCTGCATATTTCTTGTTTCAGGTACCATTGGGTAAATTCAACTAGTGAAAAAAGGTACTTCTCAGTCATATCCATGCAGACTGTGCTCCCCAACACACAGATGTAATTCAGAGCTATTTTAAAAGAGGATTTTACAGCAGTTACTCTGTTTAATACTAATAGGACCAGTTAAGACTATGGCACAGATGGGAATCAATTCTCTTCTCATTATGATCTTTGGGTACAGGTTCTAATGAAAATATCCTGTTTTTTATTTTCTGAACTGTTTTCTTTTCTTATTTTACTTCCAAGCCACTCCTTTTCATAACTAGGAAACAAAACTGGAAATCATAACAACTTAAATCTTTACCTGATGTTGCCTGAATATTGCCCATCGTTAAGCCAATCTGAATCTTATCTGACTAGGCTGTGAAGTAAAAATAATGAGTCTTATTTCCTGCTGTATATGGCTTTCTAACTGCTTGGGTTCAGTGCTACACAAATGCAGAATTTAGTGATTATTTTATTTTATGATGCTGATATATTGTGATGCCTTTAGATTTTCTCTGATTAATCAAGTTCCGATCAAACTAAACATTAACACATCTATTTCAATGCATGTATCTATACATTTCATATATATTTATATTTAAGTAATGTATTTTATTAAAGGGGATCAACGCAAAGGCAAAACTCAACAGTACTATTCACCACCACCCAATGAATTGCTGTTCGTATTTTCATCCTTTTTGAATTTCATTCATATATGAAATAAAAGGGGCCCATTAATGGGACATCATGGCCATGACATTGTCTACAGCCAACCTGATCTGATGTTTTAAAGCTATTTTAGTAGCTCTGTTAAGACTGCTCATGTAAATGAATAAAGCTTCTCACAGATGTGAAACGTAAGACATATCGGTGTCTGCAACTGCTATTGCATGATGAAAAAAGATCACCGTTTAACTATAGGATACTATACAGAGCTCTGCCACCTTCAGATCTTTATTCATAGTCTTAAGCAAAGTAAAATTTCACTAACGCAAAAGGAAATTTCTCTAGGAAAAAGCAAAATATCTTCAAAGAAGGAGAATCAGGATATGACTTCTAGCTATAAACTGGGCTGCTTATTTAGTCACCACTCATGTTTGTTGGCGCAAAATAAACAGAAAATCTGTCAGGTGCCCTTCTATTAACGCTGCAATTCCAACTGCTATTCTGACTGCAAGATAATATTGCCTTTTTGTGCAATCTACAACTCAGCAATCAGACTGAAAAAACAATAGGCTGCTTTTGGAATGGCAAGATCTTGTTATGCACTGTAGTGTCAGTATTACAGGATTGCATTTGGGGTTTTGTTTTTCCAGTGATGGGCTTTTACATGAGTATGAATAAATTGCATGTTATTTTGAATGTTGGTAACTATATTAAAATAACGGTGTGCCTATGGTCTTATCTGCTTTATTGCTCAGCTGAACTAAGAGAATTTAATACTTGTGGATAGGTACATCTGAGTAGTTATTAGGGGTTCAGAGCCATAAAGGACATGCCCATGTTAGAAGGCATTGCACTACATTGGCCACAGTTCTTCCAGGAGTCCTAGGAGAATATTGGCTCTGTTATGTACATCCACAGTATTCAGCAGTACAGCTCCCTGTACTTTCCCTGCCAGAAATACATCCCCATGAGTTACTAGGAAGAGTGGAAAAGCTTTTCATATTTCCTGCAATTGGGGAGTTTAGACTCTTTCAAAAGGCATCACTTGAGGAGGCATCTCACTTGCCCCTTTTTTGTGTGAATCTACAGAATACTAATATATTCTAGGAATTTAACTTTCTTACTAACATATATAGTAGTGGTCAAATTCGCTCTAGTCAGCAACAGTGTGAGCAGTGTGAGTGTGAGTGAGGAGGTATGTGCATAAGCAAGATCGTTATTGCTAATAAGGCTAAAATACATTGCTTTGTAATTCTTACTACTATGTATAGCACTTTGTCTGAGAAAGATGTCACCGGAGACGTTTGTGTCTTGCTATTGTAAGTTAGTGAAGTAATGCTTGACACAGCTCCCTTTCAGTGGCTTTCTAAAAGCTAATTGCACTTTGAGCTGCATGGTGTTTTCTGTGTGTGTTCAGGCTTGTTGTTGGTTCTTTTTTCCTAAATACATTCTATAATGACTAATAACTAAAGTCTGCTATATTAAATTATAGTTTTGACATATCATTATTGATTTTCTACTGGGTAAAGAAAATGCATTTTCTAATAAGCTGAGTGTGTCTATGTGAGTTTGCTTATTGACTTTTTTGCTGTTGCTGTTTATTGGTTTAAGAGATTTCATTTGGAAACTGTGAATTACTTGTGCCTTGGTTTGGGTGTGAAGGGCGCTTTCCTAGCTGTGGTTACTCCATTTGCCTGTATACCCGCATATAGCCAGAGATGGCTGCAGATGATACTACAATCATAACCAGGGAGCAGAGTGATATAAAAACATCAGTAATGATGGAAGTGGTAGAATGTCAAAATGCCTATTTGGTCTGTGTATGTCATTGTACTTTTCCTGACACAAAAAAATTAAAGGGCATATCATGAGGATACAGTGATTTATCCCATGTGATTGTTTGACTCTCAAGTTTACATGCTGTCTCCCTGCTGGACTGCAGAAAGGAAAACAGCTTTCTCTTCACATAGACAACCAGACCAATAATACTATATAGTGACTGTTTTACAGTGATGACCTGTGGGAATTCACTTGTGCTTGATAACTGACATAATTTCCCAGAGTCTCAGAGGCAACCTTACCCAAAGAAGGATGAATTTACATTTCAGGCACAGAAGGACAGCTATGACCTGATGTGGATAAGAATTAGAATGCTGTTATTCCCATTATTTCCCTTTTTTATAGATACAGCAGAGAAATTAAGCTTAGGAAAAGCTCAGAGAGATTTGCCTTTGATCTGTTAGAGCAGGCTAATATCACTGTCACGATTAGAACCACACTCATTCTGCCTCAAGGCGAGACACCAGTGGATTTTCAACTTCTTTTGCTTGTTGAATATCCTAAGGGTTATGAGGGAGTAAAGGTTCTTTATCAGAGAAAGGTGTCCATATTCACCATATTCGTAGTTGTGCGAATCTGCTGCCATTCACTCCCCCTGAGCACCTTCACGGCATAAGCAGCTGGTGATCTGTGATAATCCAGTCTGCAGGTTACAACAGCAGCTGTTTTAAATTTTTTTTTTTGCAGATTCCTTCTTATGTCAGAAGCTGAATAAAGTTAAAGCCTAAGCTAAATTCTGCTATAAGTTGTTCCAACCAGTAATAACAGTGCAGCTTTACAGAATTAAATGAGGGAAGTGCTTGGTCCACCTTTTTGACGAGAGTAGCACAAGAACCCAGTTTAAGTATCCCCTTCCATCCCTCCCTCCCAAGAAAAAAGGAACATTTATTTTCAATACTTAAGTAAGTTCATCAAAGTACATTTTTTTGCAGTGGTTAGACTGCTATAGTAAGAGTCGAGGTATTTTACCATCTTCCTGTTTGCAATTTAATGCTGACATTACAAATTGCTGACAGCTTCTTTCAGTAAAATAGCCCCCACCAGCAGGAGTTCTGAGAAATGTGAGAGTTTGTCAGCTCTTCTTCACTGACAGGGGTCTGAAAACATCTCCTCTTCCATGCCCCTGGCCCCTTCAGTGAACTTCTTAGCTTGTGAACTTTCAGTATGTGGTAGCAAGTGCAGTTTTGCTTTAGCATCTCAACCCACAGCAGTGATGAACAAACGACCACCTATGTTCTCAACTCCTTCCTGCTTCCTGCATCTTTACATATTACTTTTTACCATCACCATATATACCTGCCATGGTGTCTCGTGTGAATGAAACTAAACATTGCATGAATCCATTTAGGAACATTAGATGTTTCACCTTCCATGAAGGCTTAATAGCTGAACAACAAACTACCTGTTTTAAATATTAAGTGAAGACTGGTAGAAATAACTCTTTGTAAATATGTTGTTTAGCTACATCCGTAGAGTTAGTGATCACATTCTGATTCAGCATAACTCATGCTTTTGTATGCCACAGCAAACTTCTCTTAAATGACAGGCATATTAGAAGGAAATGATGAAATGTGTGGATTTTTACAGATTATATCGCTTTGATTTGCACATCTGGTTTTGTAGGTTAACGCGTGTATCTCTAGTATGTGTTCTTTTGTGAAAAACGTGAGCATTGTTGTAAACAGATTACTGAAGAATAAATGCTGAATTTGTTTACTCCAGTTGGCTGTATTCAATGTGTCGGCCGTTTATACTAGCAATAGAAAGAAACGGGGCCTTTTCCCAGCTACTGACTTTGAAGCTCTTTTTAGACATGCAAAAATGTAATTTTAATTGCAACAAATACAGATATCTAAGACAAAGGTCTTTTAACACTCACAGCTTGCAATCACCCGTGAGATCTCTCTGTAGGTAACTATGAGGTACTCTCATCCAAAATCTTGCTACAAGTCCTTAGATCAAGTCAC